GGATGGATGGATGGATGGATGGATGGATGGATGGATGGATGGATGGATGGATGGATGGATGGATGGATGGATGGATGGATGGATGGATTTAAACCCAGTACTGCTTTCGTTAGGAAAATATGCTAACAGATACATTACTTTTTAAAAGTAATCACTGTTTCTTACTTCTTTGGCATACTAAAAAAACAACCATTAATAGATTTACTCTAAATTTTATGTGATACCCCAATTCACTGCTATCTGTCACCCAGTTCGTTAATATAGTCCACTGCCGTGTAATTTAATCTCAGTATAATCTAACATAAATCCAGCTGTTTAATGAAGGCTTAAAAACAGATTGATTGAACAGGATAATGAAGATCAAAGAATGCAATATATTGATCAGAAATAAAGTTGTAGGGAGATTTAGATCAAAACAACATCCCAAGGTCTGAACATTTGTCCTGCTGCTCTTCAATGTCTCATCTGATAAAAGCAAGTGTGTTGCATAACTGCATACTCACTTAATGGTAACTGTCCATGCAAACTAAACAGCTGGGCAAGAATAGCATAAATCATAGATTCAGCCAAGAGGGTCCTTGTAACTCTGGATGAGCTGCAGAGACCCTAAGCTAGGGTGTTAACTAGGGAGAGAATATAAGTTGTGCTTTCCAAAAATCTAACATTGTAGGAAAAAAAGGCCATAAAAAGACCTGTCTAGAGTTTGTCAAAAGCTGTTTAGGAGGCAAAATAAATATTGAAGAAAGCAGTTTCTCAAATGTAACCAAAATTACATTTTTTATGGTGTTATGTGCTGAAAAAACTAACATTGTAAATTCCCCTGAATATCTGTGTTATAATGGACAAACAATGTCCAGACCTGAATTCAACAACATAAGTTTTGGCAAGAAATGAACAGTAATGTCAAGAGACACTCATTCTGACCTGATTCAGGTTAAGCAATTGTGTAAGAAGAATGCAGACATTTTCAGTGTTATAGTGTGTCAAGCTGGCAGAGAGAAGGCCGACAGATTTTGCTGCAAAATGTAGTTCTGCAAATTATTTAACGCATACTTTTCAGATTCTTTTATTCGCACAGAAGTATGAAAAAGTTTACATACTTTTCTTCCCAGTAAAAGTATCCACTTGTCTGTGGTTTGCTACCAAAATTCCCATGGAAAAGTCAAAAACTTTTAAATTGAAACATTAAAACTAAAAAATAATTTTCAAGGGATCGTGTGTCTATAGTCTAGAAACCACACGATGGTTTCATTATTATGTGATTGAAATTCCACCAGATGAGACATTTATGTTCAATCATAAAATATCTGAATATTTTTGCCTTATTTTTGCAAAGTTAAAGATATCTAAATCATTTTATTGTGACACAATAAGCTGGTGACAATAAATCCTGACAAATGTAACAAAGATGTGCAGTTCGGCCCGAGACTGCATACATGTTGGCGCGATGCTAACTCATAACCATTAGGATGACTGGTTTAATGAAATTATCCATCATACAACACAGAAACCAAATCCCACAAACACTTTGGGTTCAAAACAAGTCAAGCTGCACTTGGCCACAGATCAATAACCGAAGCGTGTTTATCTTGAGGAAATAGACTGTCGCTCCCAGGAGATGCAACAAGAACATCGGAAACTTCAAAGATTTTCCTCATATTTGGTACTGAGATCTTTTCTGAGATAGTGTCATGCAGTGCCTTTATTTACAGCTCTTGTGTGAAGAGGACACAGAATATGTTTGCATCTGTACAATGAGCCATCCTCCCTCGCGGCTCAATAAAGAAAAATAGGACCATATTTGGCCGCTGAGCTGCTTGTGGCTCTGAATCACACTGAGGACAATACCACTTGGTGTGTCTAAACATTGCAGCAAGTAACATTACATTACATTAAATGGAATGAAATATTTTCAGTTTTCCACACATTCATGCAAGCTGCGCATTCAGGCAAAATCTCATTAGAATATGCAAAAATGTTAGGTTTAACACCAAAAACAAATAAAATAAATTTCACAAAAATGTTTTACTTTTTTGCTTTTCCTATGAACCTATTTAGAATAAACAGCTGTACTTTTCTTCACTGGCAATTTCATTCTAGGGCAAACTCTAATTTAGATAATGAGAAATGGGAAAGCCTTTTGATGAGTCAGAGTCAAATTTTCCAGCACTCACTTAAAATATGGGTCAACATTTTTTACACTTTCAAACAAAAAGGCCACTGCAGTTTCTTTCAGCATATTTAATATCACTATATTGATCAGAAGTACATCTGCACTTATTTATAGTAAAAATGCATTTTTTTTGCTTTTTAAATCGTTATAGTTGATTCCCTAGGGCAAATGTGGTTTTCTGTGGGCCGTTAAAGGTTTTCTCCATCTTTGCTCACTCGTCCATTAAACTTTGTCTTACCTCTCTCAGCAGAGCTCAGTCAGCTCATTAAATAATCAGGAGATGAAATTGCCTCCTTTGTAAGCCCTAAGTTTGATATATCAATTATTCAGATAGCGTAAAGGAGCTGCCACTCTGGGAATTTATTGAACCCGACAAAGGTGGCCCAACTATGAGCCCAGAGTTGCAAATGTCTGAGGGACTTTATTTCTGTAATTGGACCTAATGGCAAACCTTAGATCTGAAAAGTATACCTTTTCTTATCCATATGATGCATGTTATGTTCCTGAAACATATCCCAAAAGAATAACACTACAAAAAATATAAACTGTTGAAAAGTTTTAAACAGAAAAAGGAAAGGAATTTAAATAAACAATATGTTTAACATTTCCACAGAGCTAAGTGCTTTTTTAAGAGGTGATGTGTGAAGCAACACGTTTTAGTCAAATATTCACTATTAAGTCACACAGAATAAATGCACATTTAGCTAAATATTCATTTAGGTCCACATATTTTTGCTAAATTGGCTGCACTAGTAGCTTTTGCAGAAGCCATAACAGTGGTTTTCATAAAAGGTCAAATTTGTATAACTTATGATACCATGCTGCCAAGTGAAAGAATCCCAACCATGCTCCCTGAGTTAAATCACCACTTTATTCTTGAGGCATGCTAAGCTGGCTGCATTTGAACTTATTGTACATAGTTTGGATCATCACAGGCCAGTTTTCCACTCCAAAGACTTGCACAGAATGTCAGATTACAATAGACTGCATCAGAAAGTTCTCAGAGTAACTATAAAACAAATAAACAACATGCTTACCTGCCCCAACTAAAGCACACTGCAAAAACAATCTAGAAATAAGTCAACATTTTTAAAATTAAGTGTGTTTACCCTTAATTTCAGTTGGTAGATAAGATGATTTGCCAAAGGAATTAGATTTTTTTACTCTTAAAATAAGATAATTAGATAATATGCACTTGAAATAAGACAATGTTATTGTTTTTTTCTTATTTCAAATATAAACTGTCTTTTTCCATTGGCAAACTATCTCTCTTACCTCCTCAATTCAAGAACATATGCACTTATATTAAGAAACAATGGCTTATCTAGTTTTTTTGTTTTTTTTTTCCAGTGCGACTCTGCTGGAAAAAAGGTGGTGATACTTTGCTAAAAATCTAGAATTTATGTTCTGTTATTTCCTTGTGAAGGTAAACAAAAAGTATTGATGAATGAGGTTTAAGCAAAATTGTAACAGATAATACAAATTTAACTAAAAAAATCAAAATCAAGGAAAACTTTAGCCAAAGAAACCATGCACTTAAAAATAACCAATTTAGAATCAGAATTCAGCAACACTTATAATAACAATAGTACTAATGTTACTACTGAAACTATAATATTTTTTTCAGTTAATCCGGTTAATTTTGTTTCCAATTATGACCCTAAATGCATTTGAGAATATTAAAGCTATAGTCTCACCTGTTTCTGCTGTCTCTAACTGAAGCTGATCCCTCTTGTAATATAAAATCCTTGAGAAAGAAATCCTTTTCACCGGAAACTGTGTCGCCGCTTTTCTCTTCTCACTGTTTAATCAATTCTATTTGAAAGTGGAAGCAAACTATAATAAACTGTTACATTTTATTTTTTTAGGCAAAAAGAAAAAAAAGAAAAGAAAACAAGGAAGCTGCGAAGTCGCAATCAGAACTAAAACATTTCAGCCTGACTTTTGCTCCTTTCTCTGAGTCGCTGCGCGCTGCTTTGCTCCAACTGCGCTGCGAGGTGCGCTTTTTAAAAGCGCCTTGAGCTCCAACTGCGTCCAACTCCGCCGAGTCGCTCCAAAGCTGCACTATGAACATATAAACAACAGTCCCTGCAAGAGGGTATTGAAGGACCCGCCCCCTACGTTTTCACACAGAGGATGAGAAATCCACCGTGAACCTGTGCCTATAGACATGCTGTCTGAGGTTCCAGGTTTAATGTCATCATAGTGTTTGTATTTTTATTTTTGTTTCGTATGAACTATGTGAGAAAAGCACAATAAAATGTATATATATATAAAAAAAATAGGTAAACAATGTGAATAATAAAATGCTACAACACATTTATATAGCTGGGGGGGAAACTGAATGTCTGATTGACCAGTTTCCATTTTGATTTGCCTAACTGGGATTATTGCCAGGTACAATCTTCTAAGAAAATATCAATAATCTGTTTACACTAATGAAACAAATTAAAATGACCTCCTTCCCAGCCATTTGTTTTTGCACACATTAAGCTCTGTGTCTGATAGTTTCACTTTAACACGCTGGATACCCTAAAACTGTTATCATAATTGTGCTCCTTTCATATTATTTCTAGCTACAGCGAGCTAGAAACATTTAAAAATAACTCATTCTTGACTAATGTCATCTTTGAGTGTTGGAGCAACTGAGGTGGCACATATACAAACAGTCAATGATCTTCAAGCATTTATCTAAAGGGAAGGAAAAAAATGCAGAGAAAATATTAACTATAACTGTCAAATAGCTTTTTCTGGAAAAGAAACAACAACAAAAAAAGATAGAAGCACAGTATTAGAAGTACTTTTAGATAAAAAAAAAAAGAAAAACACATTGAGAAAACAAAATTGTAATAGTATCAGTAACTGTTAATAACTCCAACCAAGAAGTAACACTTTTTATTTTCTACAGATAAATAAAAAACTACGAACACAGGTAAAGAAGTGAATATGTTTTCCAGTGAATATCCAGAGACACAGCTGAATACATAATAACTTGGTCAGTCAAGTTAATTTGCACCGAAAGCTTTCACTAGCTTTAACTAGGATGGAGAGAGAGAGCTGAGCACAGAGGCCTCTGGCTAACAGTACTAAAAATTGAAAGACGTCAAAAACTATTTCAATTAAGTGTTTTGTTCTTTTTGAAAACAGCTTAACACTGAAGCATGGAAAGTGAGAAAGGTACTATCTATACATAGTAAAGGAAAGCGAAACCAGTAACTTGATCAATGACTCTTTCCAGGAAAGAAAAAGCGAAGAGATGATTCACTGGGGCAGCTGCATCTACTTTAGAAAGAAATGATAGAAAGGAAAACATCTCTACGTTGTTACAGCCTTAAAATATAACATAAACGTCTGCAAAACACCTTTTTTTTAATTCATAAAAATATACGTATATTTAAGGTAAAAAATAGTAATAATTCAACACCTGATTTTAATTCTTTATACAAAAACAAACTGGTATAACAAAGCAGAACAATATCTTCTGCCTTGTTCTCATAAAGGAGTCTAAAAGAAATAGTTCTTGGAGATTTACCAGAGCATTATTCCACTTTTTAAAAGGAGGACATTTAGCAAGTTTCAACAAGATAGACTACTGGATAAACACACTAAGTTATTGAGCTGAAAGATTTACCATGAGAATGAAGCTAGAGAGCAGGCTCTCATTTTTTTCTTTTTTTTTTTTACGTAGTTACAAAATTAGTCAGGATATTTTAAAAAGACATAACCTTATCTTTATGACGTCCAGTGATGCACTTGGACGATGTATTAAAGAGACAGGGATGACTGGTCATAGTTACACAAGCTCATTCATTTTTTTTAAAAACACTTGTTAAATAAATACATTCTGACCTAGGAGTTAAATGTTTGTATAATTTGCTATATCTAAATCCTCTGAGGGGGATCAGCAAGGGTGAAATAACTATTCCAAATGTCTTTCATTTGAATGTGAGTGACAATAAACACTCCTTAAAATCCGGTTATCATTTTTTCAGCAGGCCTTTTTAAATCATTCTGACTGCTCATGATATCATGAGCACATCAACTGCCTGCCAAGAAACGGTCCAGGGGAGCCCTAAAGCAGAGCCAGACAGTCATTTTGCATCAGCTGTAAAATGCTTATGCATGCAAATATTGCAAATTCAACTTTATTAAGGTCATAATTATTTTCACAGTCTAAAAGCCAAGGGCTGTTACAGACCATGTACCTTCTGGGTTGACTGCAGTGCAGCCTATTTCCAGAGAGTCAAGGGTTTAAATGATGACTAATGATAGGTTTATGGCCATTAAAATGTGACTGCAGAGAAAAGGGCGAACATTGGAAAATATTAGAAAGATGGTGGTTACATCAATCAAAGATAAACACACATAGTTTAATTGTCCAAAAAATTGTGAGCCAGATATTTCAAAAGCATCCATCCATCTTCTCCCACTTGTCTGTCAGGGTTACGGGGTGCTAGTGGCAGCAGCCCATGGGCAATAGGACGGATACACCCTAGACAGCTCACCAGTGCATCGCAGGGCGACACAACCAAACACACAAACCTAAAGGTACTTTAAAGTCATAACAGTCAGGATTTGGGACTGTGGGAGGAAGCTGGAGACAACCCTTGTATGTAAAGGGTGAATATGTAGAAACACGAAGAAAGACCCCAGGGCAGGAATTGAACCCAGGACCTTCCTGCTTTAAGGTAACAGTGAAACAAGATGATTTGCCAATTGGATGAGATTTTTTTACTCTTGAAATAAGATAATTAGATAATAATTAAACCCTGAAAAAATAAGACACTGCAATTGTTTTTTTTCTTATCCTAGATGTAAATTGTCTTGTTCCATTGGCAAAGTGTATGACTTAACTCCTCAGTTCAAGAAAAAAAATCACATTTTAAGAGAAAATAACTTATTAAGATTACTTTTTTTGCAGTGTAGCACTGCACATTCTAATTTAAAACAAATTACTTTAATTCAAAAATACAAATAAGATCATTTAAAAGGGGGGGGGGGGAATCTATGTGGTTTCTTTGTCTTGCAGAACTCCAATCTCCCTCGGGACTGTTAATAATTCAACAAATAAAGCATTTGGTTGTCCAAGGAGCTTTAATCTTTTGGTTACTTGAAAGAGGCTTCCAGGATGTTCCAGGAATAAAATGAAGTAGTTTCTCATTATTGTTTGTCATTTTGTGTCATCCTGGCTTCATCTCAGGATTGTTCTCAAAGCAGTCATATCTCCAACGATCAGTGCAGAACTTAAAATGAAACAGGCGAGTGTCTGTCAACTGAAGGCCAAACTCAAAACAAATGTCAGTATACAGGACAACATTAATTTAGCTCTCAGTAGCACAAAATACAGCCACATGGAGCATTTGTAGATGCTTATTTAATGATTCCTTCATTTTTCTGTGAAGAACTTTTTTCATCTTTATACAACCTTTTTTAATTAGTTGCATATTCCAGTTTTGAACAAGCTTTTACTTCCAGATTGATAACCTCATGTTTGGCTTTGGAATTTTGTGGTTCATTTTAAATAGAATATTGCTTCAAACAAACCCAAACTCATCACCTCTTTTTTCCAGAATGTTTGACAGTAAGTAGGAGGTGTTTGTGCTGATACGCTGTTGAATTTGTACCAACTTGATCCTGGCCTTTATACTTTGGTCTTTTCTGTCCAAAAGACACTCACCAGAAACCATGTGGTTCCTTTAGCTATCCAAATTAAAATCATGCTCCTACTTTTTTTTTTAGAGAGTTGCAACTTTTTTACATTCAAGAGACTTCTTTGAGCTTTGTGTGGTTTGATCTTGAGTTACGTTTAATTTAACTTACATGCTGATAAAGATTCTGTCATCCAGGTCATAGTCATTCCGTAAAAGTTAAAAAAAACAATCAACTGGACTTGGTTTCCAAGGCTTCAAGACGTTTCGCTTCTCGTCCAGCAAGATCTCTTAATTCAAATGTCTTTAAATGAATTTAACTTACAAATCTGTGTTCGTTGTTGGTGTCTTTCAACCTTGGCAGACCACTCAAAAAAAAAAAAAAATGACCCAGGTCAATAAAATGCCCAAATTTCTGATTTCTTGGATGTGATAAGCTGATAATCATGAAATAAATATGTTTTAAATAGCAATAAATACCAAGTTTGACAAAATTTATTAATTTCGGTGTGACACAAATAAGTGTACACACCTTCATATGTTGTGGAATGGAGAGCTTGAGACATTCAATCCATTTGTGTAACTTTTGTTTTTTATAGATCTTTTTTGGAAGGCTGTACTCCTGGTTTTGACTCACATTGTCTATGTGCGTTTCTGTCGAATAATAAAATCAGTAAGGTTGAAAGCTGTCCAGATTTGGTACAGCAGCCCGGAGCTCCTTTTCCTACACTGAGTAGCATTATTCGTGTTGAAGGCGAAGGAGTAGAAGCTAGGCATAATGGGGTAGGAGTTAGAATATGAAGTATTGCAAAGGTGCTTAAATGTTTCCCCACTTCAGCACACCTGATTTCCATTGATGACTGATTAACAAACTTTTGCTTAATTGCAATCATATGAATCAGGTGCATCAAAGCAGTGAAACATCTAAACTGACAGGAAAACGGCCCTTGAGGACCAACTTTAGACACCCCTGCCTAAAGCTATTAAAATGACCGTATGAGATAAAGTTGAGTGTTTTCCATCATTTTACAGAAAAAAAAAACAATTGAAAAGACATAATTTGGGATGATTGGTAGTTCCCGCAGCTGCTTCACAGACCACATGTTCATCCTTTCCATCTCAAGCAGAGGTTTCTGGGTGTTTACACATCCTGGCTCTGATTCACCAAAGCATTGCACTATTTTTGCATATTTGTCTAATTTGTAAAGCTCTGGCAACAAACGGCTTGTTTTTCAAGCTGTACTGCCAGACATTTAACGTCGCTCTGTGCGGGTGCAGTTTATCCGCTGTTAGTTATTATGCGTTAAGTATGTATGCTAATTTAAACATCATATTTATCATGTATAAAAAAAAAATCACAAGTGCATTTCAGGTTAATAAGATCTGAAATAAGATAATA